TCTCCTGGCAGATGTTGAATTATACAAGAGCCTCTCTTAACTTGGTCCCGCAGGTGAGTCAGGCCGCCGGTGCGCCCGCCTCCGGGGGTCTCGGCGGCAACACGAGAGCCCTCTAAAGTGTGTGTCGATACAAAATGTCTGACCGTTTGCCTAAAATAGGCCCGCACCCACTAACGTCATTTAACATGTGCTCAAAGGCTCCCGAGTAGCAGAAAAGAGCCAAACAGCACTCAAAGCTCAATCGCTTCTGCGTGGAAATGACGTTTGGAACATTTTCTTTCATACATACCTCCATTTATGAATCCGTACATATTTATTTTTATTCATTATGTCGGGTGCGTTTCAATACAAAGTGAATTGTCTGCTTAGCTGATCCGCTCAAATATTTGATGAATGTGGAGTTTGAAAACATGCTCGTCTGATCTAATACGAAATCCGACTTGAAAATAGACGTCATTTGGAAGAGATGCACAACATTAACGTACGTCGCAGGGTTTTTTGGGGCCAGGGGGTTTTGAAATGTGTCACCTGCAGTTAAAATGACCAATTGAAGAAGCTCGAGAACATGTTTGATTTGCAAAGTGAACGTGAAAAGCATTCTCACGTCTCATCATTTCCACCCTATTTTCATTCATTTATTTCAATGTATTCTGAGAACGATTTCTGAAAAAAAATAAAAAAATAAAACTTTCACTTTTTCATCAAATAAATGGCGGCGGCACTCACGGGGGGCTCGGGGAAAGGCGGCGTTTCTCCTGCGTCGCGGTGCAAGACGGCCAGCCGCTTGAGTGACAGCTCGTCCATGACCAGCCCCTCCTCCAGCGCGCGCTCGTACAGCGCCTTGGCCGACGCCAGGTCTTTGTCCGCGACTGCAAAGAAACACATTTGAGATGGAAATGGTGCGCCTTTCGTGACTTGACTGAACACTGGAAACGTGCGCCCGAGTCCAATTCAACTTCCAAGACGGATTTGCCAGCTTTTAGAGCAACTTACAGCTGCGCCGCGGCGATATGAACAAGGACTTGATCGCAATTCAAGTAGTCTATCAAAATGAATTTCAAAATCTACTTAACGGGGGAGACAAAACTTGGAAGGAAAACCCATTAGCAGACCTTGCTTGCTCCAAGTTCAAGCACTTTAAAAGCACTTTAGCCACATTTGCGGCACTTCATGAACCTTGAACAAAGTATGAGAAACAATCGGAAGCATCGAAGAACCCTGTAAACCCGGCGCGAGTCGACGTGGCCTTTTTTACGGACATTAAAAATCACTCGGATGCGCAGAAGGCTCCTTTTGTCACGCAGCGTAAAAATTAGCGCTACATCCAATAATGTGTTGCGCTTAATGTTCCTCCACTTTTTTCCTTCCAAAAGGGAAAATAACCAGGTTACGCCTATTGAGCAAGCGAGCCCAAGTGCGCGAAAGCAAGTCCCCTCGGAGCGCCCCACGTTTGAGCGGCTGGCTAATGCGAATGAAATAGTCATGTGCGCTCGTCTTTGCTGTGATAACGGGGCGGCTTGGGGGGTGTTCGGGATTATAGTTCAAAGGCCCACGTAAGACAAGAGAAGTGCTGAGTGGCAGGTCGTGTAGCGATTAGTACGCTAGGCTAGGCAGGACAGCTAACTCATTAGCGGGCATGTCCTCTTCAAAAAGGCCAGCATGTTTTCTTACACCGTGCCCCCGCACGCGCATACGTTGAAATGAGCGCTCACCATTCGCAGGGGTCGGGGACCAAGAAACGCAAAAAAATGCAAATCAAGTGTTTCATCATGACCAATTTGAATCGCTCAAATCAGTCCTTCTCCCATTGCGGCGAGGGGCAGGGAGGGCCAGCCCCCCTATCGTGCTATCCTCTGCCCCCCATTACTAGAATAACGTCTAATTGCACATCCACGACAGTAGGTGGCAGTGGCGCTCTCATGTGTCTATTTTTTAATTGTCGGCAAAATTCATGCAGAAAAGAGCCAAACAGCACTCAAAGCTCAATCGCTTCTGCGTGGAAATGACGTTTGGAACATTTTCTTTCATACATACCTCCATTTATGAATCCGTACATATTTATTTTTATTCATTATGTCGGGTGCGTTTCAATACAAAGTGAATTGTCTGCTTAGCTGATCCGCTCAAATATTTGATGAATGTGGAGTTTGAAAACATGCTCGTCTGATCTAATACGAAATCCGACTTGAAAATAGACGTCATTTGGAAGAGATGCACAACATTAACGTACGTCGCAGGGTTTTTTGGGGCCAGGGGGTTTTGAAATGTGTCACCTGCAGTTAAAATGACCAATTGAAGAAGCTCGAGAACATGTTTGATTTGCAAAGTGAACGTGAAAAGCATTCTCACGTCTCATCATTTCCACCCTATTTTCATTCATTTATTTCAATGTATTCTGAGAACGATTTCTGAAAAAAAATAAAAAAATAAAACTTTCACTTTTTCATCAAATAAATGGCGGCGGCACTCACGGGGGGCTCGGGGAAAGGCGGCGTTTCTCCTGCGTCGCGGTGCAAGACGGCCAGCCGCTTGAGTGACAGCTCGTCCATGACCAGCCCCTCCTCCAGCGCGCGCTCGTACAGCGCCTTGGCCGACGCCAGGTCTTTGTCCGCGACTGCCGCAGGAATCGATGCGCAGCAAAGAAACACATTTGAGATGGAAACGGCGCGCCTTTCGTGACTTGACTGAACACTGGAAACGTGCGCCCGAGTCCAATTCAACTTCCAAGACGGATTTGCCAGCTTTTAGAGCAACTTACAGCTGCGCCGCGGCGATATGAACAAGGACTTGATCGCAATTCAAGTAGTCTATCAAAATGAATTTCAAAATCTACTTAACGGGGGAGACAAAACTTGGAAGGAAAACCCATTAGCAGACCTTGCTTGCTCCAAGTTCAAGCACTTTAAAAGCACTTTAGCCACATTTGCGGCACTTCATGAACCTTGAACAAAGTATGAGAAACAATCGGAAGCATCGAAGAACCCTGTAAACCCGGCGCGAGTCGACGTGGCCTTTTTTACGGACATTAAAAATCACTCGGATGCGCAGAAGGCTCCTTTTGTCACGCAGCGTAAAAATTAGCGCTACATCCAATAATGTGTTGCGCTTAATGTTCCTCCACTTTTTTCCTTCCAAAAGGGAAAATAACCAGGTTACGTCTATTGAGCAAGCGAGCCCAAGTGCGCGAAAGCAAGTCCCCTCGGAGCGCCCCACGTTTGAGCGGCTGGCTAATGCGAATGAAATAGTCATGTGCGCTCGTCTTTGCTGTGATAACGGGGCGGCTTGGGGGGTGTTCGGGATTATAGTTCAAAGGCCCACGTAAGACAAGAGAAGTGCTGAGTGGCAGGTCGTGTAGCGATTAGTACGCTAGGCTAGGCAGGACAGCTAACTCATTAGCGGGCATGTCCTCTTCAAAAAGGCCAGCATGTTTTCTTACACCGTGCCCCCGCACGCGCATACGTTGAAATGAGCGCTCACCATTCGCAGGGGTCGGGGACCAAGAAACGCAAAAAAATGCAAATCAAGTGTTTCATCATGACCAATTTGAATCGCTCAAATCAGTCCTTCTCCCATTGCGGCGAGGGGCAGGGAGGGCCAGCCCCCCTATCGTGCTATCCTCTGCCCCCCATTACTAGAATAACGTCTAATTGCACATCCACGACAGTAGGTGGCAGTGGCGCTCTCATGTGTCTATTTTTTAATTGTCGGCAAAATTCATGCACGTCAAATCTTTTGTGTTACAGACTAAAAAACAGTGTCAATAAAGTTCTTGTGATAAATTGATCTATATTCCCTTTTTTTGTCTGCTTTAATGGGTATACTGTAATGTTCTAGAGAAGTGTACTTGTAACGATTTTATGGACAATTAAAACACACCGTACATCACCCTAGAAAAGAAACGGTGTACAAATGAGCCCAAAAACTTGTACGTATTGTTAATTCAGTCACACTAACTGCGGTAGGCTAAGTACGCGGGCCCAGCCGGTGTCGCAGCGCGGCTCTTACCGTGACACTTCATCAAGTAAGGGTAGAGCACTTCCTTCTCAGCAAAGTCCGGGATCAGGCTCTGCAAGGTCTTGATTTTGCCCACCTACCAAATCGCACACAAGAACAATTGTCACATCGGGTGCTTTTTATTCATTTATGAATACATTGCTATTTATTGTTTTTATTCCTTGAGATTTCGATATTTATGTATTTTTATGCAGTTCAGTTTTGCTGCCCTTCTTTTTAGCGGTGCGTGTTTCGATGCACTGCGTGTTTGCACCGCGGTTGAGAGGAAAGTCATTTCATCTGTGCCGTATGTTGCACATCGAGCATATTTGACAATAAAGCTCGACTTGACTTGAGGTGGGATGAGCCACACATGCTAAATGAATGCAGCCGAATGGCTGTCAGCATTCTCTTTCATTAAAAGCAAAATGTTTCAATATTTACAAATGGATGAGCCGGTCTTTTATGACACTAAAGTCATCAGGTTTTGAGAGGATTAGCAGTGAGCCGTCAGGCCTTTTGCTGTAGCGCCCATAAGGAAACAGAAACAAAAACAAAAAATGTCAATCGGTCCATTTTGGAAAAGTCAGAACATTTCGAGATGGAAAAAGACAGTTGAAGGTATATCTATATATTTTTTTCTTCAGCTACACACACTTTTGACCCGCAAGACAACACTTGGGGTAAAAGCTAGTTCAACAAAAAAAAACAAAAAAAAAAACGTGACTGGACCTGTCCTGGCCGCTGAGATGCTCGTGCCAAGTAGGACACCAGCGCTTCCTTCTGCTCAGCCAAGGCGTTGACCCTCTGCAAGAAGAGAAGGAAAATATGGCTTGAGAGGAGACAAATGTGGCATTTTAAATGGGGAAGAACAGCATCATTTCATTGGGGGGGGCACGTTAATTTAAACAGCTCATTTCGACATAAGGGCACGGCTAAAGATTTGACATGTGACGTTCACAAGTGGTTAAGGGAAAGATGCTTCCACTGTGTAAAATGCATGCTGGTGTTTCGACACCACATGGCTGCGAGTGCATTTCATGTCTCTGCTGTACTCAGTCCAAGTATGCGTGCTCTCCTGACTGAGCGGCAATGACATTTGGAGCCGGTCGTAAAGCGCCCATTCCGCTCTGACAGAACGTAAAGCAAATGGCCTGCGAGGCTTTTAACAAAACGCGCACATGCATGATGCGCACATACACACACGCTCAATGATTCCAGTCCAATCATGCAATTAGAGCGGCGCTCCACACCCGGGCTCCATCCCGGGTGTTTTCTTTTTATTCCCCCCGGTGACGGCACAACCAACCCGGCGGCTCCTAAAAGCTGCGGATGCTCCCAGGCAAGTTCTTCTCATTTCTCTCCACTTACACGTGGTCCTCGTACTCGTTAATGACTTCACGCTCCCCCCTCCCCGCCCACGTATGCCCACATGCCACCTCTCTTGATAGGCTCATCATGGTATTGTGCGCCCATGTACTTAAAAGCTTTTCAGAGTTTTGCCCCCAAACTGTGAGATGGGATGGCCCGGGTTTGCTTTGCTGTGCGGTCCTCCAAAAGAGAGTCTGCTTGGGGGTTGGGGGGGGGGGGGGGTGGATGTCAAGCCGATGCACAGGTCACGTCAGTACTCGACGAGTCGGGGATCACAACAGCAACTGGTGCGATTTCCAACAAGAGGTAGAAATGCATTTTTCAAATTTGGAACTGAGCCGAGTGCATCGTACTTCACTCGTTCCTTTGGATCGGGCTACTGCGCTCTACTCCTATCCCCATTCGGACTAGACATAACATCTTGTTTATATCACACACACACATTTAGATATACAAAGCTTTCCAGGATGCATAGAAAGCATGTCTGTCATGCTGTAATGTAATCCATAGTTTGTTAAATAGTGATGAGGGAGGAGTGCAGCGAGCAGGAATGTATCTCATTCATTTTTTCAAGACCATCATGCCAGACATGGCTGTTTTAATTACTGAAAAGGATCATCACCCCAAATGCCAGAAAAAAAAGGGGGGGCAGACATGGTGAGATTGATTGCATTTTACAAGTTCTATTTCCTGACTATATTGAGGAGGTGAAAAATTGTGATGACAATGATAATTTAGTCGCAAAAAACAGCGTTGTTGACTTAAACAAAAAAAAAAAAAAAGCTGCTCTATTCCTGCTTAAATAGTGATGACGTGCAGCGGTAACATGCGTTTTCATTAGTGTGCACTTAAGTGACACGTGCAAGCAAACGACTGAGAGGGGTGATCACCCAGCCAGTGAGCGAGAAGTAATGGCCGTCAAGCGGCAGCAACGCTCTCCCATTTACCGCCCGCGTATCGGCTCTTTCTTGGCCATTCTCTCGCCGTCTCATCCACCCATCTAGCGTCTACATATTCATTTCCCAGAGCTCGCAGCAAAGCCATCGAGCTGTAACTCAGGAACTGCGTGTAAATAAGTGAAGTAGAAGCCCGAGTCAGTCGACCGCAGACCGCCAGACTCCGTGTGGGATGTGGGACGCAAATGCAAAAGGTCGGATAAATTAGTCAAAACCCGTGGTGGCGAACGCATGCGGCCGTCACAAGGGTTTGACGACTGGCCAGAAGCATGAAGGAGTTGGGATCGACTTAAGAAAAAAAAAAAAAAAATCATCACCACTTGCCATTTTGTTTCTGCTGTGAATGATTCTTATTGCCTTTACGCGGAAAGCACAAAGGCCTTGAGCTGGGGAGTGTCAAGGAAGGCCGGTGAGGGAGTCACCGGCGTAGCAGATGATCGGCAGAAGGAACGAGATGCAACAAGGAACATGAGAAATCGAGTGTCGAGCAGACTTCAGTCTCTAGACAGGCGTCAATGAAGACCGTCATACTCCAGATTGAGTCTTGAGGGCCTCCAGGGTGAACAGGGGAGTGATTAGACACGGCAAAGGGGTCCAAACAGTGATAGGAGACACAGGACGGTTCATATCGAAAGTGATCTGGGATGCAAAGAATAACGCAGCCCTGGAGAGAGAGTCAAGAAGTGAAAGAAACTGAGGAACAGACTTCAGTCTCTAGACAGGCGTCAACAAAGACCGTCATACTCCAGATTGAGTCTTGAGGGTGAACAGGGGAGTGATTAGACACGGCAACGGGGTCCAAACAGTGATAGGAGACACAGGACGGTTCCTTGTGGATCTCCAGAGAGAAAGAGTGAGGTCCCGGACAGTAAAGCAATTGACCGAGGATGTGAGCTCCAGGATTATGGTCCTGGGACACGCTGGTTCCATCGAGTGCGGTGTCTTGACGCTGTCAAGAGGTTGAAAAACGACATGAGCGACGGGACTATGCTCTGACGGACAAGTCAGCAAGAGTGCAAGGCCTCGACAAAAACGTCAAGGGGTAAAAGAAGACCGTGAGCCTGAGGTTTTGCCTCTGAATGGGCCCCGGTGCAAAAGGGCGAGAGTCCAGAAAGGGGAAAAAGGCCACAAAAATAACATGAGCCACAAAAGAGGGCCGAGGGGAGACACCGTGGTGTCAAAGAGAGCACAGGAAAGAGTGTGAAACCCAGAAATGTGGGACTTGTCGAATTTTGCTCAGAGGATGGAGTCAAGAGCATAGCGGTCATCGGAGGAACCCACCCAGTCGACGGGCTTCACTGTCAAGAGGTTGAAAAATGACATGAACTACGGTCATCGGAGGAACCCACCCAGTCGACGGGCTTCATCGAGAACGTATGACAAAAGCCCTCGTGAGTGAGCCCCGAAGGACTCGGTCGGGCGCACTTCACGGTTCATTGACGGTCGCTACACACTGGAACATTTCAAAGGCCGCTCGACGCGCGGCAGGCACGCGCGTTCACAAACACTTACGGCCAGCATGAACTTGGCTTCCTCTACTTTGTCCAAATCCAGAAGGTTTAGGAAGAGATCGGAAGCCGGTCTGTAACAGGCAAAGTGGTTGGCGAGCCGCTCGGCCATCGCGCTCACTGCAACGCAACATGAACTTTTGGTCAATGGCGTTTCTGCCCAATCGGTCATCGTGCGCGTCTCGGCTTACACTTGTCCATGGCTTTGTCGTCCTTTTCCTCCAAAATCTTGCGGAACACAAAGGCCATACTGGGGCTTTTGCCGTCCGCCCTGGTGTAAACCTCCTCGAGCAGCTCAACCGCTGACTCCAAATCACCCCTGAGGACAAAAGCAAGAGTGCAGGTCAGAGAGACATTCACCCTTTTTTCTTGACCGTATAAACTTTCCTCTGCTTTGTTCGCTCGGTGCAATGTTTGGCGCACGCAAAGTGAAAGCTCGACAAATATCAGCCAACTCAATCTGGCAACCTGGCCTCGGCGAGTACACTTAACTGTGCCTCCCCATTCCACGCTTGCCTTTGCGATGAATATTTAACCGCGGCGGCGTGCGCACGCGCCGATGCGCAAGTGTCCAGAGGTGGGTGAACATATCCACCCTGATTGTTGCAACCGGGACCGTCTGAATAATTCAGCGGGGGTGGAGGGGCGCTAAATGCGGTTCTCTCTGCTTTCCGGCCCCGCTCGCTTCCCCACCCGGGCTCTTAACCAGTCAGCTTGACTCCGGCAGAGCGGGGACGCCACGTGTCAGAGCGGCTCAGGGCGCCGCTCCCAGAGGTCAAGGTTCAAGCTGACAGGGCCGAGCAACGATGGCCAACCGGGCGTGAGGCCGTCTTGACGTTTCTTCCGCTCTCGGCGGCGCTGCCGAGTCGGCACGGGGACGCCTGTCGCGCTAATGCGGCAAGTGGCGCGACGAGAGCTCGACGCGCGACGCCTTCTTATATTTTGTCCGCTCTCGTTTGAGAGGCGACGCAACGGCGGTGGAGGATGGCTGTTTTCAAGACATTAAAAGGAAACCGTGAATAATCCGACGATGCCCGTGTCTCCCATTTGCTCCGGACGCCCTGCCTGCTTGCTAAGCTTTTATGCTACGAGTGTGTCACGACAGGTCTTGTCACCGCGCTCATGTGTTAAAACTGCTGCTCTTTGTGTCAACCAACTCGTGCCTTGTGCTTTACGAAAACATTGGCAGAAAAATGTTCGTTTTTCAAGTTTTTCAACAGACCGACGGGTGTGACAGCCTGCGCAGCTACTGGCTAACTGAAGAGCAATATTATCCTTAGCGGGGAGGTTTTCCCTGCCACTGTGACTATGCCAGGGGTTCCCTGGGCTATGAACCCCTAAAAGTCTGTCAAAATTAGGGAAAGGGATCCTATTTCTGGCCCGGGCCTGGATCTTGAATCTCTCAATTCGGAATCCCGCGGACCAGTCGTCGAATTCAAAAGAACCCAGTAAGGACTTACCGCTTGATGTGAGCCAGGGCCTTGTTGTTGGTGAACAACATGGTGGACAGGTTGAGACCGGTGCCGAGACCCTCCATGAGCGACTGCACCTCGGTAATTCCCGCCACGTCGCCTTGGCTGCCGAGGGCCTGCACCAGCCTGGTGACGGCGAGCTGCGAGGGCACGTGGTCCTGACGCAGCATCGACTTGAATGTCTCCACGGCATCTGAGGGGACGGGAAAACCAGATCCCATGTCGTGTTTGGCAAGACTTTGTGAGTGCCTATATGTGTATCGTCATTACCTTCGGTCTGGCCTCGCTTGCTCTGTGTGACCACCAGCAAATTGGTGGCAATGTCACTCAGCTGGAAGCTTGGAAATCGAGACTGGGCACTGAAATAGTTGATAGGTTGCTGTGTTTGACCATTTCCAAAAACTCAAAAGCAAGTCACCCACCAATAAACCACAATAAAGTTGATCAGTTTGGACATAAACTATCGCCAGTCTTTGTCGTCTATTCGCTTAAATATCGGTTGAACATGATTTGCAAATCATTTTTAGTGACGTTGAACACAACATCCCAAATTCACCGGAATAAAATGTGGTTTTGCCACAACTTTAGGGTCATAGGAGTGGACTTGTAATAAAATGGTATGAAAATGTACCATCACAATTACAGTGACCAAAATCGCTAAATCCAACGCACAAAGGTAATAATTACTCTCTGAAATGTTGTCATGCTTTGTCGGTAAACGATTTCATCTCCAATTTTGACCTTGAGGTAAACAGTACATTTGGATCCTCGAGGCTCGGGCAGGGGGGAAATTAATCCTTAGCTTTTAGTCTTTGCAGTACTACAGTAAATAAAGGGTTGGTCCTAAACACACTATTCCACAGGCCAATGGAAAAGAAAAATCATCATCTACACGTGGGACAGGGAAGAAATAACATTCTTGTCGAAGATAATGGCAACTGCACTCCAGGTGGAGCTTTATCGGTCAAAAGCGGACCCTGGTGAGCTGAAGCGAGAGGCCCGTTAGCTTTCAACATGACCGAGGGACAGGGATTTGTCAGCAATGAAAGCAAATCTATTTTTTTCCCCCCTAAGCCCAGGCAAGACGGTTAATAAGGAGGCATCACATTTGGGGCATGGGGGGGAATCCTGTGGACAAAGTAGAGACAATGCAAATTCCACGATGGATGCTATGTCTGAGCCTCTTACGTCACCCCGGCAATAATACGGTCATGAACGGCTTGAAGGATGCCGGGGACGTTTTGCTCCGCGTGCGCCACGGTGCACGTGGACCGCATGTGGCCGGAGGGTGATTCTGGAGATCAATGCTCCCCCCGTCATATGCTCCTCATCCCATAGACGGACAGGCATGCCGTCCTCATTTCTTTGCCACCGAAACCTCAATCAGACTCTTCTTCTTTTGACTTCTTTTTAGAGCCCCGCAAGCAGATTAATCCGCGCGCTCAATTGAGCATCCGGCGAGGCGGTCCTTATCACCACGGCGACACCGGGGGGGCCCGAGCGGCATGCGGGAGCCGCTTGCGACAGGGTCACAGCGGGAACGGGGTCGCTGCGGTGGGGTCTGCATTACTCTTATCAGGTGGGAGAGAACCTTAAGAGGCTCTCTAGCGCACGCACACTTTCCCTGAGACCTTCTCCTTCCAGGCATATTTGCACTTCAGCCAATGAATCCATCATCACCACACCCTCAATCCCTTAATCTGGCCACAAGCGCCCCCCCGCCACCCCGCCGCTACTCAATTCTGTCCAGATTACCTCCAAACAAACGCACAAAGACTTAATGCCTATAGCGTCTTCATTAACCTCCTCCGTGATTAAATCTAGACGTCCTCGCCTTTTCTCCCCCCACCCCCCACTTAGCTTTTTTTTTTTTTATCTCCTTATTTCTCGCCATTATCATCTTCCCCAGCCCAACTCTCCTCTCAGCTCATTTCACTCCTGGGCGCGAGCGCAGATAAAATGTGAAAAAACACAAGCGCGCTTTCACGCAGTGCAGGGGAGGCCGTAAACTAGTTCAAACAAGAGCAAAGACGGGTTATCGCTCATATTGCGCAGGTCTTAAAGCGTGGCGATTATTTCTCATAACACGGGAGGCAGAATCAGGTAGGCTGATAAAAACACAGACGGAGATGATTTTTTTTTTTTCCCGTTCCTGTACAAATTAGTTCGAGCATTGCACAGTAAGTGCTTGCTTGTTTTCCTCTGAAGGACAAAGAACAAAAAAGCAGATTGGCAGCACTCAACTCCGATTCCCTGTACCGCTCTACAAGCTCTCGCTCGCGCAACCCGACCACACGACATATTACGATATAAGCTATTTACACTACTAAACTACCTAAAAAAATTTAAAGACTTTTGATGTTTTATTTCCACCCACCAAACACCTCCGGGAGGTACGGTGCTGTGAAAGAATATTTGCTCCCTTCCTGATTTCTGTGTTCTTTGCATATTTGTCACAAGGTTTCAATTCATCAAACACATTTTTAATATCACACAAAGACGACCCAAGGAAATACTACACGCACCAAAAAATAAAAAATACAAATTCCAAAACTACCTGTTGCTATGGTCGTTTTGGAACAAACATCAGGGCAACGACAACAAGAGGAAAGCGCAACATTTCCCATCACTGGAAACGCTCGGTGGGCAGTTTCCGACCGACTGGCAGACACATCTGACTGCCCGCGGACGCTTTTGGCACATGTGACGGTGAGGCGACTTACACATCCTTGAGCGCCATGGCGTCCTCCAAAGCTCCTCCGGCCAGCAGGGAGCGGATCACGTGGTCGTACGAGGCGGCGCCCAAAGCCACACCCCGTTTGCCCGCTTCCCTCAGCATCCTGTAGGCCTCTGAAAGCGAGCGCAAGGGCAGACTTATCATGGGCTGCAGAGGTGAAGTTTGAGCTACTTAGCCAACTCTCACTATTTCAGTTTGGAGGGAGTTCGCAGAGGAGAACGTAGACGCGTTGAGGAAAACTTAGCCGTATCTCAATACATTTGAATATCATGGGAAATTTCAATTGGTCACTACAGCCTGAAATATTTTGCGATTGCATCATTTTGTTGATTGAATAGTCAAGAAGAAACCACTTAAAGTGGTTTTCATGTGGAGATTATGCAGGAATTTGCCATTTGAAAAGCATTTTCACATGCTTTTAATCAATCTTGATGAAAGTTTCCCTTTTGGAATTCAACTACTGCAATGAACTTTTCTGCCATGTTTGGTTGAAACGAGACGGTTCCAAGTTGTGAAGCCTTCCAGAAGATTTCCTCGGAATTCAAATTTCTTTTTGGGAATTGCATGGCTGTCATGCATCCACTTCCCCACCTGTCTGACCAACCATGATGCCTGGACCTATCAAGACTTTTGCAGAGAGACATTTTTGCCGAACCAGCATTCTGCTATTAATTAACATTCGGCCAAACTCAACAAATTGGTTGGCAACTGAGGCCTTCTCTTTCACTCTCATTGGAAAGAGGCGGGGTTAAAGTAACCTTTGGGCTTAATTAACGGAGGACCTCGACCTCCGGCATCTTACCGTTGGCTTTTCCCTTCTTGCAGAGGGCCAGAACCCGGATTTGGTACTGGGGGTCACCTTCTGCACCTCTGCGGGGCGTTTGTGGTTTGACCTGCTGCGTGTTGGCAGCTTCTTCGTACCAAGTCTGTAAAAGACACACACGCACACGAGATCAAACTCAGACTGATGTCTCCATCAAAACACTGCCGTGGCTCTCACAAGTTGCTGCACATATTCTGCGTGTGTGTGCGTGTGTGAGAGAGAGAGAGAGATAGAGAGATGTGGGGCGGCCGTGCCGGGGTCCCCTGATGCTCGATCACCCGTGTAGCAGCGAGGGGAGGGGGTTAAGCTGTATTGGCTGGGGGCAAATTAGGGCTGACACCCGGCGGGGGTGGGGATAGGCAAAGAGATGCGTTCATGTTAATAGTGTGGGGAGCGGGGACGTCAACTGGAGTGCCCCTGGGGTCACCTAGTTCATCGCTCGGGGCAACGGCGATCGCTTCCTGTCTCGTCAAAGCTTGGAGTGCAAGGGGGAAAGGGGAAAAACATTCAGCAAATGGCAAACACAGCCCTCTCGTGGTTTGTTGTGCTAAAGCGTCTTAATTTGGTCTTTGACAGCTTTCCTGCACACGTAAGAGCAAGCGAGCGAGCCATATGGTGGCATTTAGCTGCTGGCTTAATTAGTTGGGCATTACAGATTTGCACCCACACATGCAGCTGTAATTCCTTTCGCCAGCCGGCCGCTCTGATTGACCGCACTGCAATCCTGTTTGCTCTGCTTCATGTAATGAACAGAGGTTTAAAAAAAAAAAAAAAAAGGGGGTGGGAGGGGGTGGGGGGGGTTTTAGGGGGATCGCGAGGGCATACGGAGCAATTCCTAAGAGGGTTTATGCACATCCCCTCACATTTTAAGGGGCTCTCTTGATACAGACAAGAGGGGGTGAGGTCAACATGCTCTTTCAGTGATTCAGTTAGCTGGCCGCTAATTATTCAACTTGACGGTCGGATATTGAAATGAGTGATTGTGACGCGCATCGGTATGAGGACACGTTTTGTTGGATAAGTACTTGCAATACGCCTGCGGTCTGAATCAAATCAATGGACACTTTTCAATGTTACAGTCCACTTGCATCGGGGGACAAAAGACAGCGCAGTGACCAAACTTGGTCCCCCCCCCCAATCTCGTCAACGCGGGCGTAGTCGCAATTGTTCATTCACAAATTGACGAAAGTTTGCAGCCCTACGCTCGGTTATCTCCCGGGAAACTCACCTAGTCTGCGTTTTTGTGGTTAGTCTAAAGGCTGCCATATTCTGGCATGTTGGTGACATGGACTCCTGAGGTTAGCTGAGGTCGTGCTTTCCTGCCATCTTGAGGATTCCATAGACACTTCTAAACCATTCTGTCAATTACTTGTGCGGTGTTGATTATTTCTGGCAGTCTTTACACTAGTTGTCATCCGGTCCAGGCTTTTTCAATGATATTTTTCCACTCAAAGTAGGAAAGCATGCATTGGCCTTGGGCGGGGGTCTGCGCTCCACTGTGTGCCACTGCAGTCGTCACCACAAAATTGAATTGATATGACTCAGAAAAGGTGGAGAGTCGGGTCACTTACTACGGTAATTCATGGCAAAATCCCTGGCCACATATTTTGTGCTGATTCGGGTTAATAAATCTCTTGAGCACAGAAAATGTTCAAAACAACAACAACAAAATGCAGCAAAGGCTCCATATGAGAGACTCTATCTGAACTTCATCAAAGTCATTGTCTTTTTCCATTTACAGTATAATATGTGTTCAACTTGGTGTTTATGTGTCACATGAGACCGCAGGCGTGTTTCAGTTCCTCCAATGTTCCTGGGAATCTCAAGATTTCTCTACTCTGTCGCCTCCTTTCCCCACCAGGAGCCTTCTGGCTATTATTCTTCTGAATAATTTCCTTAATACAGTTAGCGCGATGCGCAGGCTACAGCATATCCTGTCGTGAAACAGTATTTGCCCCCTTCCTCATTGCGGTGCGCTTTGCATATTTATCACACACAAAGATTTCATTTGTTAAAACCAAATTGAAAATCACACAGAGACAGGAAATACAAAATGCAGTCTCGAAATGCCGTGAATCATCGCATCACCAATTATCGCACACAATTTCAGTTATTGCTGCCAAGGGTGTCACCACCCATTACTAGGTTCAGGGGGCAATTACTTTTTCACGGAGGGGCAGGTAGTTTTGGATTTGATTTGATTTTTTTTTTTTTTTTTGGGTGTGTGCCTTAATAAATTACATTGGGGCGCAAATTGATGGTTGGACGTTCTCCTTCCAGATTTTCTGCGAGACAGCAGAATTCATTATCCCATCAATCACAGCAAGTTGTCTTGGTCCTGAGGTAGCAAAGCAGCCCGAGACCATCACACTGCCGCCACCATGCTTCACTGCTGGCGTGATGTTCTTTTGATCAAATGCAGTGCCATTTTTTACCCCAGACGTAACGAGCTGCATATTTTCCAAAAAGTTCAATTACTGACTCATCAGTCAACAGAATCCCCCACCCCCAAAGTGTTGAGGATCATGCGAGACCCCTTTGTGACAGCCTTTGTGTTCTTTTTGGACAACAGTGGTTTCTGCCTGGGAACTCTCCCCACGAATATTAAAATTGGATTGATGAACCGAAACCTTTGCAAGTGACACATATGCAAAGAACACAGAAATCAGGAAGCAGTGTAGATTTTACCTCGGGCACCTCGAAGGGCACCTCCTGGCCATTATTCTTGAGGACGTCAGCCAGCATGCGCAACGTCCTCTCCCGGGGAATGACGTTCTCCTCCTGGATCTTGGTCCACACGGCCTCTGCCTTCTGCCAGTCGTTAGTCTCCTCTAGTGGAGGGGCGGGAATGAAAGAATTCAATTTGAAAGAAGGGAGTGCTGGCCTTGGTGACAGAGGGTCACGTTGACAAGACGGTAATCAAGGCACGAATCTGACCAATGGACTCATCCTTGTCTATGCTGTCGTGGAGGCAAGACAAGAATTTGTAATTTGTTGACAATCGGCTGTAATGGCCCAATTAGCACCGCTGCAGTCACGCCACGCTATTCTGCTTCGGTCCCCAACCACAACTAATAGAAGAGGGACTTACTGCAGAGACGGAGGAGGTAACTGTACATCTCATCACGGTCGCACTCAAATAACTTAGAGGTCATGTCCACCATCTGCTCCAGGACCTCCATCTCAGGGGCAAAAAGATTTCGAGTTTCATCATCATTTTGCATAGAATCCGTGCTCCGGTGTGTTGGTGATTGTGTTACCTGTTGGTTGGTAATGCATTTCTCAGCATACCACTGCAGACGCCCTGGTCTTGCCCTCAGTCCAGGAGTCTATGAACGGAGGGGGGGGGTTAAGGCTAAGGATTTAATGCCACTTTCTAAAACATGGCTAGTCTCATGAAAGAAGCAGGAAAGGAAAAAAAAGTTAGTGCTGCACTTTTATGCTGACCACAGAGCAGTGATCTCTTTTTAGCAGGTGGAGCGCCTCCAACAAAAACAAGTTTGTGAAAATCATTATACAACTGCTGTATTATTTTATGTATTCCAATCTCGTTTTTAGCAGATGAAGTTTGTGAAAATCATGATACAACTGCTGTATTATTTTATGTATTCCAATCTCCTTAAAAATGATTAGAAAACAAATGTAAGGGAATATGAAATCACGGTCCAATTTCAAGGTGTTTCATTAAGGCAAGGTTAAAGAAGTACATAATTGCATTTTGTTTTTCTTCAACATAAAATACTCATTACCTGAAATGTTATTTCTGCTGCCATGGAGTTATTAATGGGATTTAGATGTGCTTTATATCAGTGGCCCCCAACCTTTTTTGCCCCATGGACCGGTTCAATGTCAGACCATATTTTCAGGGGCCGGCCTTTAAGGTGTGACGGATAAATACAACAAAGTAACATGAAAACTGTGGTATTTTCAAAACATAACAATAAACACGAATCATGACACGAGGAACGTCCTATTTGCCAGCAACAGCTCCGGTCGCCATGGTAACGTGTAAACGTGCCTTCAAAATAAGATACGGTGCAAATACAATGAAAAATATGAATCACCATCGCCGCATGTTATGCAGAGTGGGCTTGGTGCGTGGGAATCTCCCCTTGAGAACCCCCCCCCTTTTTTTTCTTGTACAAAAGAATGCAGTTTTCACTGGGGCTTATAGTCATTTCAAGATCATTTCATTGGAGATATTTGGCAAAAATAGACGCATTAAATTTTAGCCATAGGCACAGGCCTAGTACGAATAAAAAAGAAGGTTCAATCGTTGTCTCGAATGAAGCTGAACGTTTCCCCATTTCAATGACTCATCTGAGACCGATTTCGAAACAAATCTCATATTTGCCTCGCACATCCTTCATAGTCTACTTTTAAATCTCACCAAGCTCCAGATAATCGTGATTTGAATAGGTCAGCCAATCATTTGTTTTCCTTTCTCAAAACAAGACACATGAGACAGGTTTCGAATGTGGACGTGAAATCATATTTGAAACAAAGCGTTCCGTTTTGGGAGGAGGACGACACGGTCCAACGGGCAGTCAAATACGGATTGACGTAGATTGATCTCGGTGTCGGTGCAGCACAGATTTACTTTGATATGTGGAGTGACATGGTGATTATTACGACAGAACAGCGATCAGGATTTCATCGGTCTCCTGGGCCTAAATAAAATCCGAATTAGACTAGGATTGAGAGACCGCCCTCTCGTCTCTCAGTGGTAATCTGAGAGCAGGGGGTTTAAAAAAAAAAAAAAAAGAACCAGGAAATTAATCTGAATGAGGGACGGAGGGAGGAGGGGGATCAACGCCGCTCAATTCCTGCTGGCCCTTTTTGATGGGAGCACCATCAAGAAAAGATTGGCAGGCTTCATCCCTTACTGCTGCTTCCTCTCCCAATCTCTCTCAATCCCAGCCTCTTCCTGCAAATCTCCCTTGCTCCTTCTCCTCCTTCTGCGCCTCCCCCCATCCATCCTTCCATCCATCCCAGGCAGAAGCATTATGCGCTTACCCGAGCAGCCAAAGGGACAAATTAAAATGTGTCGCACTCACTCTCTCTCCCTCAGTCTGTCTAATCTTCTTAGAGACCAAAGCTCAGTGCAAGTGTTCCCATCTTTTCAATTCCTTTTTATTTTGTTTGTCAGTCTCCACGTGCAAACACACACACAGGCACGCATGCACCTCGTTTGGAATCCCTCAGGCCCCGGGGTCTAATCTGTAATTAATTTTGAAAAGGCAACCTTTTTTTCATTTTTACTTTTTTGATCTGTTCGCATCCACGTGTTGAGTTCAAATTGTGAAAAATGTGTCTACGTCTAAGGAAAGAACTCTCAGCTCACCGACGCCTCACAGCAGCTCTCCATCTTTGCCTCCTGTTGAAATGTTTTCATTTCCGTTCGTCATCGTCACCATTTTAAGCACCCGCTGCAACACACGAGCTCGCATAAAAACACATAATGACTCGCCGCTCTTTGGCAATGCTACCTAACCTTGACCACACGCACGCGCGCACGCACGCATGCACACGCCACAATAATAGGCCTCATGACGATCCGCTACCTAACCGTGAGCATTTAGCACAAAATTGGCCACCTCTCTCTATCATTACATTTAATTAGCTGTGATTAATCAGCTGGCAATTATACCAAACACAGCCCGAAGAGAGCCACCACTCACCGGGACCGCCACTTGACATGCTCTCCGTTGACGTTGGCGCTTATCTGTGCTTCTCCGCACGTTTTGTGCTTTTTCCGTTTTAATGAGTGCAACCCAACTATCCATTATCGCCTCAAGTATTAAAGATATGATAGATGACAGCCGAGAGCTGCGTTTGCTTGACCAGAGATTTCGAAACCTTTTTGTGAGTGGTTATGGTAGCAGACAGTTACGTATTGTTGTGTGCTGATTAATTCACGAGCTACGTTAAAAAAAAGAACATCCAGCACGACTCAAACAATGAATGTTTGAATATATATTGTCAAGCTGCTTTTACTCCGTCTTCAATGAGCGGGCACCTAATCACTTCATTATTTATGGTGCAGCATATTTCAATACCCTCTGAGGGAATGTGATGAACCTTGAGCCTGACATCTGGAGGGTGTGTGTGCGTGCGCGCATTTGCGTTGCGGGAGCCACCTCTGAGGGTTCAAACCGACGTCTGTTACCAACATCCTTGACAGTTTGTACGTTGATCTGCAATCTGTAATAAGGCTTTGCCACTCTCGCTCTCTCACACACTCACCCCGTTGGCAATGAGCTCACGCCGTTGTAAGTAGGATAAGGGCTGTATAGACACAATAGCATGTCAATAGCGCTTCAGAGGGTCGGGAAATCCTCAAGAGGCCCAAATCCCTCTTTTAGTGCACACGAACGGGGACATTCTTCAATCTGTTGAGACAACATAATGGCCTTGTTCCCTCTGATGTCTCATGTCCTGATCTGTTTATTCGTCAATCTCCCTGTGCCGATACCCAGTTTGTAAGCACGCAGTTCATCCGTGTGTCACTCGCTTCTCATCGGCTCGCCTTTCCTCTCTTTTACACTAATCTCGGAGCTTTCTGACAAGACAAGGTTGCATAAATGTGCATGCAACATGTATATCTAGGTCATAACGGGGCCTACAACTGAAAAAAAAAAAAAAAAAAAAAAGACAATCCCCGAAACAGGAAAGACATGAGGCCTAGCATACACAACCAATTTGGACAAAAACAAAAATTGGGAAGTTTTCATCCATCAAGTTATTGCTGGACTTGATGGATGTAAAAGATCCCCCTACCCTTGTTCAGATGCTGGTTCTTTTTAGATAAATGAGAGCATCAAAAGTCATTTCAAAACGTTTTCCACCATGAACATTACCTCTAAATTGTACAACTCAATGGAGATGAAAAATGGAATCTTTTCCAGAGCGGAAACAAAAATAAACAACTGAGATCATGTGTTGGCACAAGTGTGCACATTTTCTTGTCACTGGAATGCGTTTGGAATTCTCACACCATTTCAAGTGCCTCTGATGAATCATCACATTTAAACTCAGATGAGGATAGGATAGGTAGCGAGCGAGAGCGAGCAAAATACTTTATGATGATCCCATTGGGAATTAAAAACTGATTGTAAAAATTCTCTTTTGTTCAGATGCTGTATTTTCTACTTTCTTACCTCAATGATCTTGCGCGCCTCCCGGTAGCGACCCGTCTGCAAGAAGGCGAAGAACAGGTCGTAAAGCATGGTCATCTCTCCGCGCTCTTGGCTCACCACGTCCATGGCTGAGGGAGGATGACAAGAGTGCTGAAGGTTATTTCAAAAACAAAACAAAACAAAACAAAACAATGGCGCTCTCTTGCTCATTTTTTTGACACACTCTCGCTGTCCTGTGGCTGACAGTGTATTCCGCAGAGATAGAAACTCTGGAGCATATTTTGGGCTGCTCAAATAAACACTAAATGGAAGCAACTTGGGGCGGGGGGGTGCTTGGGTGAGTTAATGGTGGACACAGGAGCGACGGGTGAGAGGGCCTTTGAGTGCAGGGAGTCTGTGGGGCGAATGAGGAGATGCACTCCAGAACCACTTGCCCCTCTGGCACATTCAAGTTGACCTTTTCATACACAGCGAGACACGATGACAAAGCAGAAATAAGCCGAGATAAATGTAGAAATAAATAAAGGGCGCAACATAACTACGTGAACTTTTGGGAAAATATAATATTCTTGTGTTGCTGCAGGCCCGTCTAACACAGATGTGGAGGGAATGCCGTCTTTCCTTTTTTTAGTCACATGAGTTTTCTTGGGGGGGTTAGGATTTGCTCGCGGAAATTTCGGAAAGAAGGACCGACTTCCCATAAAAGATCAAAAAATTAGACCACCGGGATTAGCCGTCATTGTTCCCGCTTTCTCACAACTCACGAGAGTTGGGTGTCTCGTCGATTTATGTCAAAGTACGGGGCGGAATGATTGAGCGACTTCTGGAAGTCCCGGCGGATGTATCCCGCTTACACTAGCGTTTGGAGATTTAATTTTGAACAGCCACCGCTACCGCCCATTCACGTTAGACACCGATTGTCCCTGTACATGACACCAAACTCGGAGAGACGTCACTCTGTTTTTGTTGAATTGAAAAAGAATGACCAACGATGGGACGGGCGACTTGAACAAAGGTCACGTTTGCGGCCTACAGACAAAAGTTCTTCAATGTCCTGAATGACGGGAAGGGGCCTAGAAAATGTTGCTTTGACACCTTTTTGCAGGAGCTCCGTATCTCCCTTCTCCACCAAGCTGACGATGATGTCGTGGATGCGCGGCAGGTGGCCGTAGCGCTTCTGACAGTCCAGCGCTGCGTCGAGAGCGCCCGACAGGTCATTACTGTCGGCACGCCATCCAAAACACACACAAAGGAAAAGAGAGAGAGAGAGAGAGAGAACGAGCGAGTTAGCCGCGCAATCAGTTGAGGATGTATGGGGAGAAAATACAGAGCATTAACCCCGCGCCCCGGCATTCAAGCACAATGACCCGCCGCAACAATACGGGCCGTTTAATGCGTGACAGCACAACTACAGGTGATGAGGCCTTTTGGCCTCAATACATCGTTCTCACACAATCGTGCACCGGTGAGCAGGGGGGCTAATGTCTCTCCGGACTGGCTTTCAGCGGCGCTTGATGCTTGAAAGCAGACAAAAGGGCCGCTGCTCTTGAGCTTCCCGGCTCTTCTCCAACTTCTCTTGGCGTAGCTTTTGCTTTTCTTGTCATCGCCACCATCGCTTTTTTTTTTTAACCTTCACTCTCACGTCTGCTCTCGCCCTCACAAACTTTGATTTGTTGGAATTCAAAAACTTGATTTCCTACAGCATACCAATGGAAATTGAATTCAAACCGCTTCATCTCAAAACCAGCATTAAGGCTCTCATCACAGAGGAAAGCGAAAATATACACCTTTCGCCCGTGACGTCACAGCCTCGGCAGAAGAACTATTTGCACCTGTTCAAACCCCCGTAAAGCGTATCGTCCTGTATCCGTTTACAGAAGCCATTCTCTTCTATTCTTGCTGCGCTCGACTCATAGACAAGGGTGTAAAGCAAACTTGGCTTTTTCTCACATACGATGAGGATGACGGAACATAAAAGACGGCGACGGAGAGAGTGTTTACCCTCACCAAAAATGTGGCTAGTTTTTCAAAAATTCCTTGGTTTCCTGACTCAACTCACGGCCTGGCATGCGGACTCACAACCAGCAGACGGGACAAGTTCGCCCGATGGATGGATTGATCAAGAAACGGTGCGGCGGCAGAGCCGAAGACAAGCTGAGGGAGGGAGGGAACGGGGGGGGACCGCTTCACTTCGATCCGCACTGCTGTGACAGCGCTGCTGTCACTCTGTTGATTGGGTAATTACCATGTCAATCACACAGAGGTCAACGCGGAAAGCGCCTGGATGGCGAGTGAGGAGAAACGTTCAAACGATACAGTGATGTAGGTTGATTTGTGCGTGCGCCATTTTGTAAATAAACCAGAGAGCAAGCAGGTATGGCCTTGAATTCACCTTCTGTGCCACCACTGGAGAGGCAACGGCGAGTGCATTTCTGATGAGGGAGATGAAGGAAGACACCTCTTTTCAGCAATGTCACTCAAGAGCGATCGAACAATACGGCGCCGACATTTTGGCCACGCACTCCTTTTATTTCTCCTCGAGGGGCTGGCCTCGCCGCCGTCATACTGTACGTCACTACTATAGGAGACCTCCAAAAAAGGAGCCATCGCTTGGCCTGGCGTTGCAATTAATCCCTCCCCCTTCCCGCAAAAAAAGAGCTAAGCGGGTCAAATGATGGATCATCCACCACCCCCCTCCCTCCCTTACAATTTAAATGTCATTTTGCATCACAATTTACCATAGCACAGCCCTGTTATTGTCCTTAGCTTTGCATGTCAGCTACTTGCCAGCCAATTAAGACCCGGGGTGTGTGTGCGCACACATCCACACACACGAGGTTGCTGGTGGAAATCTGAAGGATTAGACAAGAAAGCTAATTGTGCCTCATCCTTGCTCTGCTGCCCTCTTTTGTGTGACAAAGACGGGCGGGCCCGTGATCAAGCCGCTGTCCTCGCACCGAAGACGACGGGTGGTTGTCTGGAGAAGACAAATGAGCTGTTGATCATGACACCACTAGCCTGCTGTTAGGGACATTTGCAGAGAGACATGCCATCAAAGAGATTGTTGTCAAAAAATGACAGTCGGCGCCTCAGGAAAGAGGGTTCTTCCAAAGCCCGTGCTACATAGTTGCAGAGCAAATTCCCCGAACAGGAAGGGAGACCAAGAGAGCTCCTTTCAAAACATTTTCCACCAATAGCGTGACAACTGACTTGAGGAAAAAAAATTCCTGAGGGGAAATGAAGCACGTTGGAGATGATGCGGTTGCACAGATGTGCACACCCTCGATCAACTCGGGACAGTGGCAGTGTTCAACGTGAACAAATCACATTCAAACTCATGTTCATTGGAGGAAGCGCACACACCTGCCACCTTTTTCAAGTGACTCTGATCAACTCCAAATTAAGATCAGCTGTTCCTGACAATGATAGAGACGTGTAATTCTGACATAAATCCAGCTTCGGACAAACAAACAATCAATCAATCAATCAATCAATCAATCAACAAACAAACAAATAAAGGAAACGTCCAAATTTGGGCTATGCTACCACAACCTGACAATCCCCTGTCAAGTTAAAACATGAATTCCAAACTATTCCTGGGGCAAATTTTTATGACAGCGTTTGGAATATGGAACAAATGATTACAAATTCAACATTTGCTCCGAATGACTACAAAAATGTTGTCGCGGTATCGCTCAAGGAGAGATGCTCGTGTGCTTGCCAACCTAAAAAGTATACATTTGTCACAGCGAGAGCGTCTCCAACTCCGATGATTATCATTCCTGTCGTCGTCCTGCCCTCTCCCCGCTCATTGGCATTTTCTGTCGCTCATCACTTCCAGAACAAATGGCGGCCAGCGCCGGCTGCCAAACAGAGTGGAAGCGGGTTAGCTCAGACAATACGCAGCAGACGGGCGGGAAGGTTAACGGGGCGGCGCGTATGATGGGCTGTCAAGGGCTAATCTGCCGCACAAGTGTTCATTAAGTCATTAAGCGGCGACGCGGCGGATGAGACTGGCGCGGGCGGGACCGATGCCGGCTTTGTCCTTGTGTATCGGCGCGCTGCCTTCGCCTCCTCCCAACAATCGGCTTGTCCGCTGAGTGACGGAATGAAAACAACAGAAGAAGAGAGGAAGTGGACTTCCCCCATTGGGGAAGTTTGAGTCAAATGTTTGGCGCTAGATCGGACGGCGAAAAGATGAGCCTACCTTGCGTTGGCAATCACCGACACAAGGGGGCGTGGGGGATGATCTGATATTTTTCACAACTTCTGAATGGAACATTGTATGGGAATAAAACCAAGCCAAGGGTACAAGTGGCATCTGAAGTCTGAAGTACACCAAAACATTTGAAGTGTCCATTTGAAGACAGCCATTGGGCCAAGAAATCACACGGGGGAAACGGACGGCATGGCGGGCGACCGGTTAGCACGTCGGCCTCACTGTGAAGAGGCGCAGGGTTCGATTCGTTTGCATGTTCTGCCCGAGCCAATGTGTGGAAATATGTCTGAAGAAGAATTCCAAGTAGCCTATGTGGTCTGGACCCCAATTGTTTGGCTGAAGCCCACCAGTGGAAAATTCAAACTAGTTCAGGATTTACAGATCCCAATGATACTGTGGTGAAATAAAAACATTTGGTGGAAGGAACACATTGCATGCGACACACGGGGCGCAACCTGCTCTGACAACCTAAACCAAGAAATACGTTAGAACGGGAGGTACCATATCCCAAGGACCATGTGCCAAAAAAAAAAAAAAAAAAAAAAAACCCAACCTGTAAAGAAAACGCTACCTGCGTTCTGTTGGTGCGCAAGGTGGCTTTTGAATGAGACCCATCGGCGTGTGTTTGTTTTGGTTTACTGCTGATGACCCGGGAGTAAATTAGCCCACTAATCTCGCCAAGGCAGCCATTAACAAGTGAACCGGGCAACCGCTTGTGCCGGAATTACTTCAAAGATTAACAGTGGCGGGGGAGCACCTGCAAAGTACTACTTCCAAGGCTAACACGCGATGTAAGTACGTGTACGGCGTCTGTGTGTTTGCGAGTCCCCGAACGGCATGGCTGGGGTAAATCTGGCAATTAGCGCACTGTACATCATTAACATGCTAATGAGTTGCTCTACTTAGAAGCTACTCTGACAAATAGAGCACACGCACACACACGCGCGCGCGGGGGAGGCGAATGGCACAGAGGCGCTGAGGAGGCGGGCCAATACGAGTGACCCCGCGGCCAATGTTTGATAACACTGATCTGCATTTGACATCGAGAGAGATGCGCGCGCGCGCGCGCGCGCACACACACACTCACACACACACACACACACCTTGGGAATATAGCAGTGGGTGGGGAAGCAGGGGCGGGGACTCATGGGAGAGGTTGCAGCCGCCGAGTGC